ATTAGAAATATTCATCTATAATATTACAGGAAAGTAGCAGTTCTTTTCATGTAATGCAGGAGTATATATATATATATATCGAAAACCCTAGTTTTCAAGGTAAATACAATTTTTCTCAATGACAAAGTCTTTTATTTTTCTAGTCTTATCTTCATGTTGAAAGGACGTAACAAGAAACGTGTTTATACATACGCAATAATATGGATAACAATACTTAACATAGTATAAGTTTTGAAGCAAGCGATCGAAAGAAATACAAAGGTTTGGAATCATCGATGATGGATCGTGTTGAAATCGATAAAATTCTCTAGAAATTGTTGGTGACTAACGGAATCATTAATGCAATAAAGGAAATATTGTTGTCGGTCAATTTCGTGGGTCAGTTCTGTTAAGCTATTGTTACATCATAATCATTCATGCACGGAATCACAAAGGTGATTCATCAAAGAGTTGATATGCAGGCGAAATATGTTAAAGAACAGTTGAAAGTAGCAAATAAGCGAATTGTGAAATTAACAAGTACACTGAATGACATTGAACGATATAGCAAACGGCGAGATCTCATTATTATAGGAATTCCTACGAAACAAATGGAAGATACAACATCAATTATTATAGACCTGACTAAATCAGTCAGCGTGAATATTGGCATTAAAGACATCTTTGCCACGCATTTTCTACCTGTTCGTCGTGTAGATTCTACTCAACCAGTAATCGTCAGTTTCGTATGTGCTGATGAACGTCAAGTGATATATTCGAAACACCAACGATTGAAACAAATGTATAATTATAAACAAGTTTCCATCAATGAGCATTTGACATTAGTAAATAATACAATCTATGTGCGTGCACGGAAGAAATTAGATAAGCGACGGGTCTTCGTCCGGCATGGGTCTATTATGATGTGACCGGCGAAAAGAATGTTTCAATTTCTTCGATTGATCAGATAGATAGTGTCAAATGAACGTGTGAGTATACGAACTAGGTTCGATTCTTCTTCTCGACGCAAACACTATAATGGGAAAACTAGATGAGAATCCCAAAAGTCCTCTCTCGCCTCGAAAGTTTGACTTGCTTGTTAATATGATGAACACTTCTAGACAAGTTCAAATTACTTGAAATTATTGGACATCTATCCGATGCTCTAACATTCGATTCAACATATATCGACAATATGATTCAATTGTATTTACAGGCGAGTTTAACGGTCACTTGCATAAATGGTGCCCAACAAGAAAATCAGCGGTAGAAGGTGACATACTGTATGATTTTGCTCTTAGTGAAGGTTTAGTTCAATAGTTAAAAAACCAACAAGGTTACAATCGAAGTCATGCTTTGATTTGATTTTGGCGAATAATGTTGCTTCAGTGGCAAATGTTTGTGTAACGAGTCCATTATGTTTTCAGACAACCACTCCATTGTTTAGTTTAATCTTTTATTAAAAAAAATTACCACGTTATAAGTATAAGCGGAAAATTTATGATTATGCGCACACTGATTGGGATATCGTCAACGTTTGACTTTTGTCAACATTTGGAAACAGTTGAATGGCATTCTCTTCTTGATCATCTCGTATCTGTGGACGATAAAATCAGCATCTGAACAACAATGCTAAAGATCGTAGATAAGTGTATTCTTCACAGGACGATAATTATCTCTTCTCAGGATGCACCGTTACCGATAAACTACGAAAACTCAATGCAAACAAGCAGAAATTGTATCAAAAAAAAGAAAGTCACGCCACAATCTATCATTAGTTCATACCTGTCTACAGCTACTCTTTTCGAGAAAGAATATATTCAAGCAAAACAGGCATATTATTCACGATTACAAACTTATGTGAATAACTCATTCAAAAAGTGGTGGACAATAGTGAAGCACGCTTTGGGAAAACATAAACAGACCTTAATTGCGTCATGACATGATGCGCAATTAAATAGTATGGTCAGTCATCCATGTGAAAAAGCTGAAGTTTTTAATCATTATTTTGAAGTGTGCACATCGGTAAATACTCAAGGGAATATTTTTCCATCATTGCCCATTCCTCAGCAAAGTATGTGCACTTTTACTATCGATGCTAATGAGGTATATTATGCGTTGAAGAAAATAAATGTCATGAAGGCTTTTGCTCTTGGAACATAGGGCGGATGTTGAAGGAGAGTGCACTCGTTCTAACACAATTAACACCTGTTCTAACACAGTTATTCAATCACTCATTGCCTACACTGTAAAAAATAAAGTGCTACAAAAAGTGTTTTATATGAAAACTGTTTTGCTATAAAGCGCATGGCTAAATATAGCCCTTTCAGGTATAGAGAAAATAAATCACTTCTGATCTGTTGTAAACTAGGGCACTTCGTGAAAAAACGTGCTTTCAAAGTGATTGCAAAGAGAGCATTTTTAAACATGTATAGTAGAAAGATGCTTTTGAAGTGACCCAAGAGAAAACACTGTGACATGAAACATTTTTTTGAAAAGACACTTTTTAAAGTCATGTTAACAAGTCATTCGCCTCTTTTATTTTGCTATTACTACTAGTATATATGCAACGCTGATTTTCTTCGAATAACTTAGAAATTTTTCTCTTGAACGACTATACAAGTTATCGAAGCTTGTCTCGAAGAAGTAGCATTAGCCTAAGGATTAGTATTAGTGATACTATCAGGGTTTTGAGACTGGTACTCAAAATAGTTCCATGGTTCAAAGGAACCAAAGATTAACAAAATTAGAAAATCATATTTATAAGTTCAAAATCAAATATAATGAAATTCGACAAATGTCATTCCAAAAAGTGGCCTGGACAAAAGCGATCTCTTGTGGCGCTGATCCTGTTTGTAGCGATCTTTATTTGATTTACTTTTCAAGTGACCACCGGGTAGCGCTTTGCAACTGGTTTTCTTTAAAGCACTTTTCAAAGTGTTCTCCAGTCAAACACTTTACGGCAAAACAAGACCGCTACATATGGGATCAGCACTATCAGAGAGCGCGCTTTCTTTTTACAATGTAAGGAGACATTTCCCTCGCAGTGGAAGTTGGGTTTTATTACCGCTATATTTAAGCAAGGTAATGTTCATCGACCGATAACCCTCCTTGCAGCTGTTTCCAAAATATTCGAACGGGTCATTTTCAAGAGGGAAAATAGTAAAAAAATTCAATGTTAATGAATTTGAACGTGTTGGTTTTATTTTTCGTGATTTAGAGACTAGACGTCCACCATTCATTTCAGCGAGTGCACGATATTTACAATGTTATTTTAAAATACATCGAGGAGACAAGCGACTTGACTGTGTCTGATGTTCGCTTCAAATAAATTCTATCTCCTCCACACGCAGCCATTCCTCCTTCCCTCCTTTACACAGCACACCAGTATGGTACCTGCTTTTTACTATCTTTTTTGTTCTCTCACATTCATCCTTTTTACCTTTTGCAAAACCTATAATAGTGAACACCCGATTGACAATGCTTTCTATCTAAATAAAACTGGTTAAATCAGATGTAGTTTGCTACATTAGCTCACGAGGGAACCGCCACAGGTGCTCAACTCCGATTTCCTTTATTCATACCTCGTTTTATAGAGCACATTGAGCTGGTAAAAAGCCTAAAAGGATTTTTGCCCATGGTTCTTGAAGTCTCAGTGTTCTGCAAAACCAGTTTTTGAGAAATTCTAAAAAATAATCAAAACCTTTCATAATGAGGCATAATTGTAGCCCGCACATTTCTGATTAAAATGAGACGTCTTCCACCT